GGACTCCCAATCACAGCTGGTTGTGATACAGCCTGGAAATGAACCAGGGGGTCTGTAGTGACGCCTCAAGCACTGAGATGCAGTGCCTTAGACCGCTGCGCCACTCGGGAGCTCTTAGTCACACCTGTCCATAGACTTTGTCACCAACCTTCCACGTTCTGACGGCTTCACCACAGTCATGGTGGTCGTAGATCGGTTCTCCAAATCATGCCGTTTTTTGCCACTAACTGGTCTTCCTTCTGCTCTCCAGATCGCTGAGGTCCTGTTCCAACAGGTCTTCCGGCATTATGGACTTCCGGAGGACATCGTCTCGGACCGTGGCCCCCAATTCACCTCCCGAGTGTGGAAGGCTTTCCTGGAGAAGATCGGGGCCACGGCCAGCCTCACTTCCGGGTATAGGCCTCAGTCGAATGGGCAGGTGGAGCGCATGAACCAGGAGTTGGGGAGGTTTATTCGTTGCCACTGTCAGGACCGGCAGGGTGAGTGGGCGAGGTTTCTTCCCTGGGCAGAATATGCCCAGAACTCCCTTGTTCACTCCTCCACGGGGCTCACTCCCTTCCAGTGCATCCTGGGATACCAGCCGGCCCTGGCCCCTTGGACACCCAGCCAGACCGATGCGCCCGCTGTCGACGAGTGGTTCCACAGGGCCGGATAGGTCTGGGAGGCCACCCATGTCCATCTCCAGAGGGCCATTCATCGGCAGAAGCACCAAGCCGACCGCCACCGCAGTGAGGCCCCTGTATTCCAGCCTGGGGATCGTGTCTGGCTGTCCACAAAAAACATCCCTCTCCGCCTGCCCTGCAAGAAACTGAGCCCCCGGTTTGTGGGGCCGTTTAAGGATAAATGAGGTATCGTACCGGCTGCTCCTTCCCCCTCACTATCATGTCTCACCCACTTTTCATGTGTCTCTCCTCAGGCCGGTGGATCCTGGTCCTCTGGCGGATGCCGTCCCCGGGGTACGTCTCCTCCGCCCCTGGACATTGACGTCTCCATTAACTGGTGGACTGGGAGGGGTATGGTCCTGAGGAGAGGAGCTGGGTTCCGGCTGGGGACGTTCTGGACCCCAACCTAATCCCGTCCGGGGGGGGGGGGTACTGTCACGTCTCCTCCCATTGCTCCCCTCCAGTGCTCTGATTCGCCGGTCTACTGAGCCACCGGTCTGAGCGCACCACCTCGGCAACACCGGAATGGAAACCCAACGCACCCTAATCACCTATAGCGCACCTGCACCTCATCTCATCACCACCCCTATTTAGCCCTGGACTGTTCCTTATGATGTTGCGTGTGATTGTTTAGCTTCGTGTCGTGTACTCTATCTTTGTCATTGTTTAAGTAAACCTTGACCTTGTTAATTCCTGCGTCTGCGTCCTGCCTTTTCGTATACTCAGTACTCGTCACACCATTGAGAGGAGTGATCACTGGGGTAGGGGTAAATGTGAAAGTTGACCAACTGAAGGGGAAGATTCCTAGTGTTTGTGATGCTCGTCATTTGGAGCGACGCAGACAGGGTGGCGTGAGTGGTGAAACAGAAGAGTCTGTCCTTTTGAGTTTTGATCTTGAGTCTTTGCCCAACAAAGTGATGTTAGGATATATAAGTTATCCCGTACAAGCTACAGTGCCTTGCAAAAGTATTCATCAACCTTTGGCGTTTTTCCTATTTTGTTGCATTACAACCTGTAATTTAAATTGTTTTTTATTTGGATTTCATGTAATGGCCATACACAAAATAGTCCAAATTGGTGAAGTGAATTTAAAAAAAAAAGCCCCTAAATAAGATCTGGTGCAACCAATTACCTTCAGAAGTCACATAATTGGTTAAATAAAGTCCACCTGTGTGCAATCTAAGTGTCACATGATCTCAGTATATATACACCTGTTCTGAAAGGCCCCAGAGTCTGCAACACCACTAAGCAAGGGGCACCACCAAGCAAGCCGCGCCATGAAGACCAAGGAGCTCTCCAAACAGGTCAGGGACAAAGTTGTGGAAAAGTACAGATCAGGGTTGGGTTATAAAAAAATATCAGAACATTTGAACATCCCACGGAGCACCATTAAATCCATTATAAAAAATTGAAAGAATATGGCACCACAACAAACCTGCCAAGAGAGGGCCACCCACCAAAACTCACGGACCAGGCAAGGAGGGCATTAATCAGAGAGGCAACAAAGAGACCAAAGATAACCCTGAAGGAGCTGCAAAGCTCCAGAGTGGAGATTGGAGTATCTGTCCATAGGACCACTTTAAGCCGTACACTCCACAGAGCTGGGCTTTACGGAAGAGTGGCCAGAAAAAAGCCATTGCTTAAAGAAAAAAATAAGCTAACACGTTTGGTGTTCGCCAAAAGGCATGTGGGAGACTCCCCAAGCATATGGAATAAGGGACGCTGATCAGATGAGACTAAAATTTAGCTTTTTGGCCATCAAGGAAAACACTATATCTGGCACAAACCCAACACCTCTCATCACCCCGAGAACACCATCCCCACAGTGAAGCATGGTGTTGGCAGCATCATAATAATATGCCATTTAGCAGAAGCTTTTATCCAAAGCGACTTACAGTCATGTGCGCATACATTTTTACGTATGGGTGGTCCCGGGGATCGAACCCACTACCCTGGCGTTACAAGTGCCATGCTCTACCAATTGAGCTACAGAGGACGGCTGTGGGGATACAATGTTCTAAAACCAACCAAGACCAATATAATACCATGTTTAAACCGTTTCACCTCACATGAATCCTTTTGCATCCTCCCACTTAATTAACATTTGTAGCAGCAGAGAAAGTGTCGCCCTCTCATGAGACTACCATGAAACCACTGAACCATTCATTGTTAGAGTATATGCATGACTGTGTTGGTTTATATGCTGTTCATGTGTTTTTTATGTACTTTTTCCTGTGGTATTTCACATACAGCTCTCACCTCATTCCCAACAAGAGCAGATCTCTAGATCAGCACAACATTTTTAGGCAAGTCAAGCCAGCAGAAAATATAAAAATATCTTGAGAGACCGTCAGAGTGCAGACAAAATATTATGAATCTCTTTCTTTAAATTGTGATTGTCCTCCCAGCCCTGTTTTATGATTGAGGAGCTGACATGTAGTTTGTCAAAGGGTGTGCGTGGTGCTCTCTAATAAAGAGGCAGATTGTTGTTGTCTCTGGTGATTTATCCTGGGCCTCTGTCCTCTGTGTGTACCGGAGGAGAGAGAAGTTAATTAAAACACAGAGACTCGTCTCCTCATTTCAGCCTGGACAGGCCGAGCAAATCACAACCCCTGAAGACATTTACAGTCTTTATTATTTCTTTATGACAAAGCCCAGCACTCGTTGCTTTGAAATAATGGTTGTTGAGGGCCTGCGATTCCTGCTTAAGTCTATTCCTCACCATCAGCCTATAAGAGATGGATGAAAACACACTTAGAGCTTACAGTTTTTGGTACCACAAATTCCCTTCGTTTGTGTGTAGTAATGAAAGTGCTGTTTATGAAATAGGTGCCAGCATCATTCTTGATAAACAGCTAATGACCTGGCTCAGTCTCAGTAAGTGGAATTAATAACATGGAAAAACTGCCCTGTTCATCCCTTTGGCACATTGAGTGCAACCCTCAGGAGACTGTATTGATTGACAGTTAAGGTCATTTGTATACCATGGTCCTCTTCATCAACAGGATCTGCCACAACTAAAGGATTAAAGATCATCATTCAGAGAAAAAAAATCTGTTCTATCACACAATGTTATACTCCTGTGGGAAAAGATACAGTGCCTTGCAAAAGTATTTATCCCCCTTGGCGTTTCTCCTATTGTGTTGCATTACAACCTGTAATTGAAATGGGTTTTGATTTGGATTTCATGTAATGGACATACACAAAATAGTCCAAATTGGTGAAGTGAAATGAAAAAAATACAGGGAAATTCTTGAGGGAAACCTGTTTCAGTTTTCCATAGATTTGAGACTGGGACGGAGGTTCACCTTCCCGCAGGACAGTGACCCTAAGCATACTGCTAAAGCAACACTTGAGTGGTTTAAGGGGAAACATTTAAATGTCTTGGAATGGCCTAGTCAAAGCCCAAACCTCAATCCAATTGAGAATCTGTGGTATGACTTAAAGACTGCTGTACACCAGCAAAACCCATCCAACTTGAAGGAGCTGGAGCATCTTCAAAGTGGTAGGCATGTTGTGTAAATCAAATGATACAAACCCCCCAATAATCCATTTTAATTCCAGGATGTAAGGCAACAAAATAGGAAAAATGCCAAAGGGGGTGAATACTTTCGCAAGCCACTGTATTGTGCCGAATACATTACGTTGTTACAGGTGTCAAGCTTATGGGCATGTGACAGCAGTGTGTAGGAGGGAGGTGTGAGAAATGTGCAGAAGGGCATGAGACAAAGGAATGTGTAGCATTGGGGCAAGTAGTGGTATGTGTTAATTGTAGGGGTGCCCATGGGGCTGGGGATCAGAAATGTCCAGTGCGAGAGAGGCAGTTTGAGGTTTCCAGGGTTAGAGTAGTGCAGAGGTTGTCGTTTGCTTAGGCGGTGAAGAAAGTAGAGGAAGATGGGTCAAGGGGGAGAGATTCTGAGAGTAGTGGGGTGAGTAGTAGAGATGTACCAGTACAGAGGGATAGGCCAACAAGTGATATGTTTCAGTTGGATTGGATTTTTAGCATTTATAGCAATGGTTATCAACTGTACTGCAGGGATGGAATGTAAGTCACAGAAAATTGAGGTTGTGGTGGCAGCTGCAGAGTTATTTGGGTTTGCGAGACAAGAGTTACATGGTGTTAAGTGGTGGTGTCCCATCCTTTCAGGCTGTTGGCCTGAGGTAGGATTAAATATATTTAAATAGTGGAGTAGGGTGGTGGGTTTTTAGTGAGTGTAGGGTTAGATGAAAGAGTATATGTTGATTCATTTATTTTATGATTATTTATTTCAAGTATAAGGGAGTTATACTCCAGTCTAGTAGGTGGCGGTAATGCAACATTTATTGGATGCCAACCGCCGTTAAACCTCATCGAAGAAGATACCATAGTAGTAGAAGAAGAACCATGCCTCCTCTTCCACAAGTGCGACTATAGCTAGCTAGTTACGGTAGCGCCAGCTGGAGCAGTAGTCATGGATCCAAGCACCACTATTCTCCGGGTGAAAAGAAAGAGAGGAACCGACCCTGCCGATGCTTTGCTGCTTGCCTGTAAACGTATTCGGCCGGAGACCACATCCCAGACCGCTGGGGAAACTGTGCCTGAGCCCGATGATACAGAGGTTGAGAATTCAGTCTTCAAACTCGTGGCGACGGTAGCATCACAGGTATGGGCCGCTGTCAAACCACGGTGTCTCGTGGGCGCTGGACACAATCGGCTGGTGCTGTGCAAGACACTCAAGTCTGCTGTTTTTGTTTAGCTAGCGTCTTTGATGTTTAGCTAACTAACTGTAGTTAGCTTATCAGTTGGTTAACGAACGTTAGGTTTATTGCTAGTTAGCTATCTAAATTAGATTTTCTATCCAGCCCAAGTCATCCTTACTTAGCTAACTGGCTAACTCGCTTTGTGTTGATTAGCAAGCAAGCTAACTAACACCGAGATAGCTAGGTAGCTATCGTTAGCAAACTAGCCAGCCAGCCTACGTTCTCGCTAACTACGTTAACTTCACAGCACCATTATCTGGTGTACCTGCCTTTTGCACACCTGCCCTTTCAAGACCACGTGGACAATATTAATTTGTATAGTTAGCTAGCTAGCTATGTGGAGATAATCCTTCGCAACACCTGTTGTTTGGGTAGAAAATAACTTGGTTGGCATTTGAGTTGTGTGGTGATGGTCCTGAAATTCAGTCATAGCTAGGTTGCTAGTTTCCATAACCTATTTTCTACATTGTTTTATTTTCAATCTTAATGTATTCTTAGCACTCAAACAGTTCTGGTAGCTAAGTTAATTTAGTGAACCGTTCATGTAATGCACTGCAAGTCTTATTAGTCTCAACCCTCTTTGTTAGGATAACTGCTTCCCTACACTGTCACTATTCTCAGGATGCCCCAGTCCAGACACAGGTTCGTGAAGCACTGGCCCGCCCCCGCATGGCCCACGCCCAGCGCCCCTCCGCAGGCAGCTCCCAGAGGATTGTGGGAGATCTGCGGAGCGCTAAGTGGAACACCAGGCGGGAGGAGCGATACAGGATCCTCTCCAGCCATCGAGCAGGGCTGCCTGCGGAACAGCCCCTCTCAACGCAGCCAGAGCCCACAGAGGAGGAGCCAGGCAAAAATGCCTGGAGCCTGGGTGAATATCAGGTGTTTGACATCATCCAGGAAGATGGGGACCAGGACAAAGCTCCTAGTAAGGTAAGTGTGAGCTGGGCTCCCCTAAGGTTTAGCTAGAGCTGGGGAAACTTTCTTAAAACCAGGATGTCCTATGTAAACGTGTCAGTGCCCACAGTTCCCATATGATGAATTCAGTTGAGCCAGATTATAGCCTACCTGCCACTGACACATAGGCCTAGTATTTGGATGGCTAGAATGTTATGCTTATTGTGACTGCCCTCTGTTTCCCAGTTGCTGAACCCTGACCCAGAGACTATCCTGTGTAACTCGATGAAGATGATCCGTGAGAAGCTGAGTGTGTCTGGAGAGGGTGTGGGTGTTGAGCATCGTCAACGGGAGGACGACTACGTGTATGACCTTTACTACCAGGAAACAGTCACTGCAGGCTGGATCCAGGACATCCTGTCCGTCAGGCCCTACTCAGACGAGGGAGAGTTGGTAAGGTTCAGAACACAATACTGCAATGCACATGCATGATACAAGTATGAACATTCATAGCCATGCAGATAACTTAGCCTAACACATAGACCAATCTCAATTGTACCTGCTTAATTGATTTGGTAAACTGCTGTGGTGTCTGACTAATCTTGTCCACCAGCCGGCTCTTTCTCTTTCAAACGGTCTGGTTTCACAGTGCCTCAGAAAGGGACTTGAATAGAGCCTATGGCAGGACCGGGAAGAAGTCCAGCTGAATTTATTGGCTGATCTGTCATCACCATCTAGCATAACCCTCAGAACCTCCCCTCTACATTGGGGATTTCAAAGCGCAAGCGATTTAGGCTAAACAAGGAAGTGAGCTCGTGAAATCGGAAAATGTGTATCTTAGAACTAGTTTTCACAAACTTTATATGCCCAAACTCAATCAATTGGGCTTCCCAAAAAAGTGCTGTGATAACTTTTTTTTTTTAAAATTCTAATACAGCTGTAACAGGCTCTCTCGCCTCGATTTTAACCCACACCACTTTCAATTCAAGTCCCACTTTGTTGCCCAGTGTTTCCAGGCTCTAAATGCCGAAGCAATTGAGCCTGGGACGAGGTTAGTATCTGAATAACATAAAATGGTGCAGGAGGAATAACCTTGATGTCTTGGTTTTCCAGGTGCCTGACTTGGTGGTGAATGAGGAAGAAGTGTATGAGGACGAGGATGATGAGAATGAAGAGGGGAACTGGAGGAATGACTACCCAGATGAAGACGGTGAGGATGGCAGCGACAGAGAGGAGCGCTATGGAGGTAGGCTAGTACAAAGTTCACTAAAGCGTCACACAATGATTATCAAAGCTCCCATAGTAAGCGTAGTTGCGTTACTAGTTCCTCTCCGAAACCTAATTTTGCCATTCTCATCCTGAAGGGTACTGGGAAGAGGAGCACTCGTACAGTCGGAGATCCTGGGACCGGTACCAGAGCGAGGTGATGCAGGAGTTAGATGACGACGATGGAGACAAGGATGACTCTGACTGATCTCCAACTTCAAGCACTGGTGGATGTGTTTGAGTGTCCTTTTTTACTGTGCAAGTGTTGGTGTGATTTTGTGTGAGTGTTCAAAGTGAATGGTGGTAGATGTGTTGCACATAACTGGTATGCTTTGTGTGCTTCTTGTTAAACTTGTTTGTTGGTGAGATGGTTTGGACTGCGTTTGCATTTTGTGCATGGTAGTATGTACGTGTAAGCGTATGGTAGTGATTGTGCATCTGAAAGTGTGGAGCGTTTTGTGTGTTACAATATGTTTGGGTCTACATTCCCTGTCACATGGAGATTGTACTCTTGATGTGTGAGAGATGTTTGATGAAAGATTAACTCAGAATCCCTTTTGTAAATATGTAGATGTGTATAAAATAAAGCTTTCAAAATAAATGTAAAACTGCCAAAGAAATTATGTGCATTATTGCTGTAATGAATAGAAACATACTGCAAACTGGTTTAAAGTTTTATTGATAAACGACACAATAAATTAGATAAAACTATCAATAACCAATCTTCCATGGGGCATTTCATGAAGTTAGCAGGCAAACCAATGACAGAGCCAACTGTCATTCCTCAAAAATATGTACACTGAACAAGGTCAGTGTATTTCATATTCGCTGAATAACTTCTTATAGTGGCTTCATTCCAATATTGGTCCCAGGAGATCCTATGCATGGTTGACTTACAGGTACAATAAAGATAACATTTGTATAATTCACGGCTGCTGCCCCAATAGGCCCATCAAGTGATCCCAAACTTGGTAAAGCTGACATGGACTCATGAGTCACCATGGTCTTTGGAGAGTTACATTTGCCATTGCTGAGATGACATGGCATTTAGTTGGCTATTGCACATTTTCCAAAGCAATACAGTACAGAATAACAATTTCTTTGTGGGTGGGGTTGGGTTTTCAGGTTTATGAATATTGGTATTATGGATATTAGAGGTCCAGCCCCATTTAAAGAAAACGGTGCGTATGGACAAAAACTGTGTATAGATAGTTTGCATAATTGAATGCTACATTAACCTTACTGAGGTCAGTCTGCAGTTCACAGAAAAATGATCATATGATCAAAACTGAAAACACCATGAGTGAGAGGGCTGGAAAAAACCACTGAACTAAGGACTGTAGTAGAGCTGTGTTGAACAACCATGTAGCAGCAGACGTTGAGTCATTTGTGCCCTTTTTCCAATAAACCATCATCCATAATAACCAATAAACTATCATCCATAACTCAAAAGCTCCACGAGAACACAGACCTTAGCCTCACCTTTATTTATAAAAATCAGTCTGTTTGCATGTCCTTTTGGGATACGCAGACATAGACAGTGTACAAAACATTAGTAACAACTTCCTAATTGAGTTGCACCCCCTTTTGCCCTCATAACAGCCTCAATTCGTTGGGCATGAACTCTACAAGGTGTCGAAATTCCACAGGGATTCTGGCCCATGTTGACTCCAATGCTTCCCACATTTGTGTCAACTTGGATGGATGTCCTTTGGGTGTTGGCCCATTCTTGATACGCACGGGAAACTGTTGTGTAAAAAAACCCAGCAGTGTTGCAGTTCTTGACACGATCAAACCGGTGCGCCTGGCAGCTACTACCATACTCCATTCAAGGGCACTTAAATATTTTGTCTTGCCCATTCACCCTCTGAATGGCACACATACACAATCCATGTCTCAATTGTCTCAAGGCTTTACAATCCTTCTTCAATCAGTGTAGATGAAGGGGAGGAGACAGGTTCAAGTGGATTTAACAGGTGACATCAATAAGGGATCATAGCTTTCACCTGGATTCACCTGGTCAGTCTACTGTATGTCATGGAAAGAGCAGGTGTTCCTAACGTTTTGTACACTCAGTGTATATGAATTTGACAGGCACAGCATATCAAAAGACTAAAAATGAAAGTGTATACCTATACCCTTTGAGATCATAAAACAAAAGTAGTCTTGTCCAACCTCTCTAGGTAATTCCATAACCCGATAAGAGCAGTATTGCCATCTTACATGGATTTCCAGCCACTGAGAAGGGAGAGACCACCTCTATAGGCCCTGATGTGGATCTCACCCCCTCAGCTCATACACCAGGCAGGGGATGATGATGTCAGGAGATTGGGAGAAGTGAAACTATGAGTAGGATAATGACAGGAGGAGGGGGATGTCCCAGAGTACTGGCCAGATGACCATGGCTTTCCTTGGGATCTGTCCTTGCCCAATGCTTAACTTCACATGAACCATCAGGCACCAGGCTGATGGCAGTCAAAAGAGTCCCACACTGTCACCTTTCTATACCTGTCTGTGCGTGTAAACGGGTGTATAGTGTCCCAGCTTGTAAACTACAGACTAATGTAGTAGTCAGGTTACTGGAAGTAAAATGTTGAAATATTCCCTTGTTTTTGCAAAAGAGGTGAATTTCCATGAGTTGGTCCCATGTGTCTGTTTGTGAATTGCAAAGGGTGGTGGGTAACATGGTGAGAACTTTATGTCGTGGTTGGGAGTGAGGGTTTACTCACTGATGTCCATCTCGGTGAGCACACAGAAACAGGTGAGCTGGGTAAAACGTGTGAAAGAACCTAGCACAATGGAAAGAAAGAGGTCAGAGCGCAATCATAAATTACTAAATAAAATACTGTTTCCACATCTTTCAATGGAAATATTTTCAACTATTATACAAGATAGTAAATGTAAAATCAGTCCTCACTTGGAAACAGGCTGTGGAAAGGCTCTTATTGAGAGAGGCTAACTCACGTAGTAACTTGGTAATGTAGGGTGGGCGTTTGGACTCGGGTAGGTGGATGCCCAGGAAGTAGACCGGCACTCCGGAGAGGGCAATGGCGATGCCAATGAGAGAATTGATGGTGTCACTGTACAGTGGCACTGCCACGAGGAACACAGTGCAACAACAGAAGATGATGGGGTACAACAGGGTCAACTGCACACAGGAACACATTGGGGAGACAAGCACAGACATTCATTGTTGTCTTACATGTAACTACTTATCTTGCAAGAGATTTTATCTTTAGTCTATTCATTAATAAGTATGAACATATTGGTTCACAGGGTGAGACCGTCAAGTTTCTCACCTTGAGTGGTCTGGGTCTGTCTGGTTCCTTCCAGCGCAGGTAGATCTGCCCAGCGATAGACAGACCCATAAAGAACCAGTAGCTGAAGCTGTAGTAGTTGATCAGCTGGAAGACATCCTCCACAGTCAGGTATACCAAGGCCATGGCACACTGTGGACACAAAAAAAAAGAAACTGGTCAACAAGAGGCAGAATGTATGACTTGCCAGCAGGGGGAGACATGGCTCATCAAAATCATCCACACCAGATAGTAAGGAAGCTGCACTGGTCATGTCTATCCACCAGGTGTCAGCACTGACAGCAGCATTGAGTTGATGTGGACAGTGGAGATGATTCTACTTTGTTTGTTTGGCATAAAAGTTGATGAAAATGTACAAAAGTATGCAATGTAGGTGATGTAAGGAAAGGGGGTGCTTACGTTGAAGAGTAGAGCAGGGACAGGGGTATACCTCTCCGCATGAATCATAGATAAGGCGTCCGGGAGGTGACCTTCACGAGCACCCACGAAGAACAGCCTGCCAACGGCGGAGGTATCACTTAGATACAGTGCTGAGCGATTAGTGCTTTTTGTGGACGGTTCGGTTTCGGATAGATTATAAAAATATAATCACGGTTTTCGATTTAGTTGATTATTTTGTACATTAAATGCACTATGCATTATGTGGGTTGAACAACACAGAATAAAACAATTATTAAAAGTCCCATGATGGTAGTGACTGCCCATTACTGCTTATCACTTATTAATCATCAGTTATTCACATTATTTTACTTTTATAAAATATTTCAGTTGTTGTATATATTGCATTTGTTTTATTTGATTACTTTATAATTTAATTCCAAGTCATCATCTCATCTCTATAGAGCCCAAAATCACTATTTTAGTAGTTATTCAAAGTAAATAAGGCATACTTTTATGACTGCTGAATACCAACTAACAATCACTTAGATAATGTATTTTCAGGTAGAGATACCTGCCCTCTATCCCATCGTCTTCTGTCTCTTCTCTCTCTCTCCGTGTCTGCCCCACACAGACCGGACAAGTAGCCGCGCAATGGATTATGGTCATTTTAGTTAATTATCACGTTTTCTGCGCTAAACTATGTAGAACATTGGCCTATAGGTAACTACAACTCCCTGCTACGTCGCACAGTTCAGGCATGATCTGATTTATCTCTAGAGAAACTGCAGCCAATGTGTGCATTGAGCTCACATAAAAAAAAACGAACTAAATGGAATTCAAATAATTTAATTTGTTGTTTTAAAAACCAAAAAATAACCGACATTTCGGTTAATCGCTCAGCACTAGCGGCCACTAGAGTATCTGGTCAACCTAATGGTACATCTGTGGCATACAGCATACACTGTAGATACAAAAGTATGTGGACACCCCTTCAAATTAGTGTAATCGGCTATTTCAGCCACACCCGTTGCTCACAGGTGTATAAAATCGAGCACACAGCCATGCAATCTCCATAGACAAGCATTGGCAGTAGAATAGCCTTACTGAAGAGCTCAGTGACTTTCAACGTGGCACCGTCGTAGGATGCCATCTTTCCAACAAGTCAGTCCATCAAATTTCTGTCCTGCAAGAGCTGCCCCGGTCAACTGTAAGTTCTGTTATTGTGAAGTGGAAACGTCTAGGAGCATCAACGGCTCAGCGGCGAAGTGGTAGGCCACACAAGCTCACAGAACGGGCCTGCCGAGTGCTGAAGCGCGTAGCGCGTAAATCGTCTGTCCTCGTCTGTCCAAATCCCTCCCCTACCCTACCCTGGACGACGCTGGGCCAAATGTGCGCCGCCCCATGGGTCTCCCGGTCGCGGCCGGCTACGACAGAGCCTGGATTCGAACCAGGATCTCTAGCGGCACAGCTAGCACTGCAATGCAGTGCCTTAGACCACTGTGCCACTCCATGCGCAATGCCAAGCGTCGGCTGGAGTGGTGTAAAGCTCGCCGCCATTGGACTCTGGATCAGTGGAAACACGTTCTCTGGAGTGATGAATCACGCTTCACCAACTGGCAGTCCGACGGACGAATCTGGGTTTGGCAGATGCCAGGAGAACGCTACCTGCCCGAATGCATAGTGCCAACTGTAAAGTTTGGTGGAGGAGGAATAATGGTCTGGGGCTGTTTTTCATCGTTCGGGCTAGGCCCCTTAGTTCCAGTGAAGGGAAATCTTAACACTACAGCATACAATTACATTCTAGACGATTCTGTGATTCCAACTTTGTGGCAACAGTTTGGGGAAGGCCCTTTCCTGTTTCAGCATGACAATGCCCCCGTGCACAAAGTGAGGTCCATACAGAAATGGTTTGTCGAGATCGGTGTGGAAGAACTTGACTGGCCTGCACAGAGCCCTGACCTCAACCCCATCGAACACCTTTGGGATGAATTGAAACGCTGACTGCGAGGCCTAATCGCCCAACATCAGTGCCTGACCTCACTAATGCTCTTGTGGCCGAATGGAAGCAATTAGTCTCTAACAAAGTTACCAAACAGAGTAACCAGCAACTTAGTAAGTACACAAAACACAGGACACCACAGTATCCATACTCACATACGGAAATAGTCTCTAACAACAAACACAACTGACCGGCTTTTAAACAATGGGATGTGTGATTGAAAAACAGGTGGTGCAATGCAGAGGAATGTCCACTGATTGGTCCACCTCAGCAATCAGCAGACACCCCAACGACCACCAATCAGGAACATACAGGACACCTGTGATTAGGGCAGAAGGAAAGAAAAAACACAGGATACCTGTATCCGTAACACCCCCTTTTTTCCAACATCTAGTGGAAAGCCTTCCTAGAAGAGTGGAGGCTGTTATAGCAGCAAATGGGGGACCAACTCCATATTAATGCCCATGATTTTGGAATGAGATGTTCGACGAGCAGGTGTCCACATACTTTTGGTCAGTAGTGTACCTCCGTAATCATTACCAGAAAGCAACTCCAGATGGTGTTTATTATAGAACGTCACTATAAAAACCATCGGAGCACAACATAACTAGAGATATAACCAGATGGAACATGGAAATCAAGGCCTTAGACTGTACAGCAAAACCATAAAGCTTATGGGAGTGTGAGTGTGTGTGTGTTTGTGTATGTGTGTGTGTGTGTGTCACAGGGCTTACCTGGATGCAGCGATAATAGATGCGTTTAGCCCTCCATAACAGGACAGAGCCACAGCGATGGGGATGGTCCAGCTCATCACTCCCAGAGTGTGGTCTGCAAACGTCTACAGAGGAGAAAATAAAACATATTAGGATTTTACACAGAATCTTAAAAACACACACCTTTCCAGGGGACACTTTTACACATTGATAAAGAAAGATCCATATCTAAATTGGAGTCTGTCAGACTCCAATTAAACATCCAGACTGTCAATGGGCCAGACAGCCCCTGACACAGATGCCTGAGGGTGATCAGGTGCTTATAGAAACAAAGACAAACAGGCCTAGGAACAGAACTGAACATCAACTCAATGTATACATAAAAAACAAGCAAGGGCGGTAATCGCATTGGTAATAACTTCAACATGTGGCATGTGGGTCGGCACTGTATACAATTTCCCTCTCAAACTACATTCCCGGAAATCAGAGCCATAAATAATCTGCTCTTCAACAGAGACCCATTGGCCCAATAAACTAAATAAAATCTATTCCATGATATAAAAGAAAGAGCTCTTATTTCTGAACTCACCACAGCCACGGCATCACTGGCGAGGATAGCACTCATGTCCAGCACGGCGTAGTAAGCCACGTTAGTCATGATATATATGATTGTGACGATGGGCATGGAGATGGCAATGGACAGGGGCAGGTTCCTATGGGAACAGAGTAAGGTCAAACATTATCATTCATACAGTATACGTCTCTCTTTGTTTGGCATATACTCTTACCGGAGCTGACTTGCTTAAACCTACAGTGCAACATGGTGGTAAGGTTACATGGCACTGGCGTTAATGTGTGAATGTACATACAGTAGGTTCTACTTTGGAATAACACCCAGCTGCCAGCAATCACTATGGCACTCCATTATCTACCACTGCATTCACACATCCTTGTAACCAAAGCTTCCTCAGATTAGTAATGGAACCCAGTTACGGTTCTAGCATGGGAGCAGAGCGGTTTGTGCTTCAGCCGACCCTTCTGTTGGATTCGTTGTCATGCCAAACAGTCATGTATGACAATGAATGACAAAGGAGTTGGCTAAAGCACAAGCAGATCTGCGGCCAGGCTAGTTAATGACTGACTATAGAGGCGGAAATCAAGCAGGTCAATAATGGTATGTTTGGTATGTGTTGTCAGGGTGTCATGAGTACCTCTCTGGGTCCTTGATCTCCTCGGTAACAAAGTTGAGTGTGTCCCAGCCTGAGTAGGAGAACAGGGCAGAGTACAGGGCCAAGGCAATGTCTCCTGGGTCTGTAGAAGAGCCCTGGAACGACGCCTCAAAGTTCATGGTGTATCCTGAGGGGAGGCAGACACAGTAATTACTATACAACCATTCATGCAATGGGATAAAAATCTGATATGAAAATGAATCAACTGTAGTGTGTTGGCAGCAGTGATACAGTGTCACTGACCTTGGCATAGTTTCACTATGCCTGTAATGATGATGACGATGAGGGCGAGAACTTTGGCGTAAGTGAAGACATCCTGCACCCTGGTGCCCCACTTCACGTAGGCCGAGTTGATGAACGTCAGCAAACCTGGGCCAACCAAAGACAGGAGTGTTCACACAACATCAGCAGACTAGTACTTAGCAGAGGACTGTTAAAGGTCAAAGATCAGAGCCAAATCCTTTTACTGTGCTGTGAGTCTTTCAATCACGGAGTACTCATTCAATTAGTTACATGTTATGTGTTACAATTCACAGGTCACATGATGAGAGGACTCGAAGCTTCTTAACTCTGAGAGTAGTTCTGTCAGCTCTGTTCTGTTGGGCTTCTGTCTGTACAGATGCACAGTGCAGTGAGTGCACACACATGCATGAAAACAGATCTGGAATCAGTTCATGTACACCCTGTAATGCAGGAACAGTATGTACTATTTCTTGGCCCCAATGTTAGCATAACTGTCTGCCGAAGTAGCGTAGGGTTACTGAAATGGGTATGAGGTAGGAAGGTTCTGGAAAACCTAGAGAGCAAGTCCTACTAAGAGCAATTTGAGAGCATTTTAGTGACTCAACTTAAATTAAACAGTCTGCTAATGTTCTATTTTTACATTGTCTGCATTTTCAGAGTGTCCTTTGACACTTTGTTTGCCATTTGTGAGAGAAGGATATAGGAAAAAGTTAGTCAGAGTGCGTAAGCGCGTCATAAGGGATTACTCACATATGCAGGCGGCTGCGATGAGGCGCGAGGCTGAGTAGGGGGGCTCGCACGTAGGGAAGAGCGGCTGCACCAGGTAGTTAGCGAACGTTATGGCGATGACTGCCTGACTGGTGGGCTCAATGATGAGCAGTGATGTCCACAGGCGAATAAAGGCAATGAATGGACCAAAGGACTCCAGGATATAGGCATAGCTGGCCCCGGACTTGGTGATGGTGGTGCCCAGCTCTGCGTAACACAGAGCGCCGACCACTGAGAATATTCCACCGATGGCCCAGATGACCAGCGACAGGCCGTAGGAGGCGCTGTAGATGAGCACGCCCTTGGGAGACACAAAGATGCCTGAGCCAATCATGTTGCCCACGATGAGGCTGATTCCGTTGAGCAGGGAGATCTCCTTCTTCATCTGCATGCTCTCTTTAGCCTGCTCGGGGGCCACGGCTGCGGTTTCGCCGGGGTCCGAGGAGCTCCCGTTCAGCTTCCTGGACTCGTCCTGGTTCTCCATGCTGGGACTCTGTCTGGGGGCCTGGCTGGCTGGCTACTTCTGGGAAAAGGGTCCCCTCTGACTGGGTGCTACCTGCCCTAAGAGACAAGAAAGGGGAAGACTGAGAATTCGAGATTTGAAAGAGAGAAAGAGAAGGAAAACTAGAGTAGCTAATGCCTCTGAAGCAGACAGAGAGCGTGGAGTGGTCTAGTCCAAATGTAATCCCTCTACTCTCCTCCAGGCCCACTCACTGGTGTAGCGGAAACACCCGCAGCTCTGGGGGCCCATGTGCCCATCATCTCACACCTATGTCTAAATTATTACTTTTTAAAGAAATCATTTTGACAGTAACCCTGCTTTTTAATTTACACATGTAGCAAGCGATTTTACAATTGCATCGTCTATGACGATGTTTGACAGCCATCGTGGATGGTGACAACATTGTGAAGTCACAAACAATGATTTAGTATATTTGAATTTGACTGCACCTCCACAGCAGGGAGACATGCCAAATGGCCTATTCCCTATTTGCCATAGCCTATTACATTTCAATATAAATGTAGTAGTTAGACTATTAACATAATGCAAGAGAACAATGTAGATTGTTTAAAGAGCAGAGAGCACCAAAGCAGCCCAAAATGTCAGATAGGGCCCTTTTTCCCAAACAGACAATAATATAGGCCTACACATAGGCTATTGTCAATAAAAGTTGCAGTAAACGTTACTTTTACAAGTTAAACTTATAAACGAATATGGATAATGTTGTCGAAGTGTTTAGCCTATTCATGTCCTTAAATTGCGCAATGGGCAATCGGGCATAAGCTCCCGCAGCAGCACTTTCAATAAGCGGGAACAAAAAAATAGGCTAAATGAATGATGAGTCGGTGTATGTATGAATGAATGATGAGTCAATGTTTTCTATAGCTTACAAATTGTGCATGTATATACAAGTCAACAACAATCAGATAAAATAAATGATTATTTAGCCTTTAACAATCTTTATAACACTTGAAGGAACATTGATTTAGGCTAAAAACTAAATAGGCCTATTATGCCTTGCTTATCGAACTGTACAAACCATAAATATACAATCAGATATAAAGAATGTTATAAATAATAATTGTAACACTTAAAAACGAATTAACATATGCTAAAAACAAATAAGCCTATTAGGGTACTGTACAAATCCTTTCACAAGTTAGAAAATATATCAAGTAGCCTAAACAAAATAAGTACGGAATAACCTAAATTAGTGCAAAAAACTGTAGTCTTTCAAGGTTTGACAGAATATTCCAGGCTATCCTATAGGCTATGTCTTTCGATTAAGATGAATCTGGATTTGAATATAGGCTACATTTAAAATTAAATAAAAAAGTGCAATGAGGAACCATTAGGTCTAGTTGTTTTTTACCATGTCTTAGGCCCCATAAAGGTTTCTGGCAAGGAACACCAGCATGTTCACCCAGTGACGAACTCAGCAGGATGATGGACTTGTAAATACTTTTCCCTGAGTATTTTTCATACAGGAGTAATAAAGGCCTAGTTCACTAATTTTGTGGGGGAAAAAACGATATTTTAATTTATCAGGTGCTTCAGCACCCTCAGCACCCCTACTTCCCGCGGCTATATGAGTATTGTTATGGACAAGAGAAACATAGCCCTACCAATTTGAAAATCATGCAGCCTAGACTAGATAAAAAATAACTAGGTGTAACACTGTTTTGGCCTAGCAATGTGTCCTTTATATATTTTGTTCTTCCCGCCCACCAATTGACGCCTTCGTGCTCACCCCCATAGAGAAAAAAGAAGAAGATACGATTGTATCTCAACGATATTTGGACAGGAGGATGGGACGATGTGTCACCCTAAAGTGACGTGTTTGTGTTGTCCAATCTACATGGGTAGTAGGTGAGTCAGAGACAGGATTTTTTAACAAGGTGGTGTTGGTTAGGCCTTAGGACTCAAAGATTTTTGAACACCTGAAACTGCCATTTCTTGCAATCTAGAGCAAAAAAGTGCCTTATATGATAACAAATCATGTAAAAAAAAGAAAAATATATATATATATAGTAGCGCAGCCAGTCCACAAGGTGTTGCAGCGCCTCTCTTACATTATTTGGGGAGAACACTGCAATAGTTTTCATGAATCTAATTAGCCTATTTCTCAGCTGCGCCAGCCCGCCTCAGCCTCCTCACCTAATTGGTTATCAAAAAAATTAGGTGAATCAGGTCGGACTCGGATGGAGAGTGAGGGTGTTGTTCAAGATGGACAAACAAAAGGCAAGACCAAGTGTTGATCAAAAACGTCACCAAAAAGCTTTATCTGATCAAGCTTGTGCCAAATAACCGAAGATAACCACATCAGCAAAGCAACCACCTCATCCTCGACTGGCGAAACACCATTGGTGTAGCAGTGGTGTAAAGTGCTTAAGTAAAAAAACGTTTAAAGTACTATTTAAGTCGTTTTTATGGGTATCTGTACTTTACTTTACTATTTATATTTTTGACAACTTTTACTTCACTACATTCCTAAAGAAAATATTGTACTTTTTATTCCATATATTTTCCCTGACAGCCAAAAATGCTCCTTACATTTTGAATGCTTAGCAGGACAGGAAATGGTCAAATTCACACACTTATCAAGGTAACATCCCTGGTCATCCCTACTGCCTCTGATCTGGCAGACTCACTAAAAACACAAGCTTCGTTTGTAAATGATGTCTGAGTGTTGAAGTGTGCCCCTGGCTATCCGTCAATAAAATTGTGCCGTCAGGTTTGCTTAATATAAAGAATTTGAAATGATTTATACTTTTACTTTTGATACTTAAGTATATTTTAGCAATTACATTTACTTTTGATACTTAAGTATATTTAAAACCAAATACTTTAAAGACTTTTACTATAGTGACAGTTCCTCTAGTGAGAGTGCCGGCCCTCCTTCTCCTCCTCATCCTCTCTCAGAATACCAAGCTGACCACTGCCAAAGACCCAGCAGCGCTCATGAGAGCAGGAGTGTTCAGTGAACACTGATAAGCCTACGAGTGATGAGACAGATTGCCCCGACAGCGTGGAGTCTGGGACTGGGAGACTAGTCATGATTGAGGCAAAGATGAACGGAGCAAAGTACAGAGAGATCCTTGGTGAAAACCTGCTCCAGAGTGCTCAGGACCTCAAACTGGGTCAAGGTTCACCTTCCAGCAGGACAATGACCCTAAGCACACAGCCAAGACAACGCAGGAGTGGCTTCGGGATACGTTTCTGAATGTCCTTGAGCCCGGACTTGAACCCGATCGAACATCTCTGGAGACCTGAAAATAGCTGTGGAGCCATCCAACCTGACAGAGCTTGAGAGGAACTGCAGCAAAGAATGGGAGAAACTCCCCAAATACAGGTGTGCCAAGCTTGTAGCGTCATACCCAAGAAGACTCGAGGCTGTAACCGCTGCCAAAGGTGCTTCAACAAAGTCCTGAGTAAAGGGTCTGAATACTTATGTAAATGTCATATTTCAGTATTTTAAATTTTTTGCAAAAAAATCTAAAGACCTGTTTTTGCTTGGTCATTATGGGGTATTGTGTGTGTTAAACAAATCAAAATATATTTTTGATTTTTGATTCTTCCAAGTAGCCACCCTTTGCCTTGATGACAGCTTTGCACACTCTTGGCATTCTCTCAACCAGCTTTAGGAGGTAGTCAACTGGAACTGGCTACTTTGAAGAATCTCAAATATAAAATATATTTTGATTTGATTAACACTTTTTTGGTTACTACATGATTCCATATGTGTTATTTCATAGTTTTGATGTCTTCACTATTATTCTACAATGTAGAAAATAGTAAAAATAAAGAAAAACCCTTGAATGAGTAGGTGTGTCCAAACCCTTGACTGGTACTGTGTATATATACACACACTGCTCAAAAAAATAAAGGGAACACTAAAATAACACATCCTAGATCTGAATGAATGAAATCATCTTATTAAATACTTTTTTCTTTACATAGTTGAATGTGCTGACAACAAAATCACACAAAAATTATCAATGGAAATCAAATTTATCAACCCATGGAGGTCTGGATTTGGAGTCACCCTCAAAATTAAAGTGGAAAACCACACTACAGGCTGATCCAACTTTGATGTAATGTCCTTAAAACAAGTCAAAATGAGGCTCAGTAGTGTGTGTGGCCTCCACGTGCCTGTATGACCTCCCTACAACGCCTGGGCATGCTCCTGATGAGGTGGCGGATGGTCTCCTGAGGGATCTCCTCCCAGACCTGGACTAAAGCATCCGCCAACTCCTGGACAGTCTGTGGTGCAACGTGGCGTTGGTGGATGGAGCGAGACATGATGTCCCAGATGTGCTCAATTGGATTCAGGTCTGGGGAACGGGCGGGCCAGTCCATAGCATCAATGCCTTCCTCTTGCAGGAACTGCTGACACACTCCAGCCACATGAGGTCTAGCATTGTCTTGCATTAGGAGGAACCCAGGGCCAACCGCACCAGCATATGGTCTCACAAGGGGTCTGAGGATCTCATCTCGGTACCTAATGGCAGTCAGGCTACCTCTGGCGAGCACATGGAGGGCTGTGCGGCCCCCCAAAGAAATGCCACCCCACACCATGACTGACCCACTGCCAAACCGGTCATGCTGGAGGATGTTGCAGGCAGCAGAACGTTCTCCACAGCGTCTCCAGACTCTGTCACCATGTGCTCAGTGTGAACCTGCTTTCATCTGTGAAGAGCACAGGGCGCCAGTGGCGATTTTGCCAATCTTGGTGTTCTCTGGCAAATGCCACACGTCCTGCACGGTGTTGGGCTGTAAGCACAACCCCCACCTGTGGACGTCGGGCCCTCATACCACCCTCATGGAGTCTGTTTCTGACCGTTTGAGCAGACACATGCATATTTGTGGCCTGCTGGAGGTCATTTTGCAGGGCTCTGGCAGTGCTCCTCCTCCTCCTTGCACAAAGGCGGAGGTAGCAGTCCTGCTGCTGGGTTGTTGCCCTCCTACGGCCTCCTCCACGT